TGACATTATTATAATTTTGAGTGTGATTGTTTTTGTTCTTGTTCTCTGTTTTTTTATTGTTGTATTCGGTTTTGTTAGTACTACTATTACTGTTGTTGTTTTAGATTCTCTCTATCTCTCTCTCTCTCTCCCTCTCTCTCCCTTTCTCTCTCTCTCTGTCTCCCTCTCCCTTACTCCCTCCCTCTCTCTCTCTCTCTCACTCCATCTCTCTGTCTCTGTCTGTCTGTCTGTCTGTCTGTCTCTCTCTCTCTCTCTCTCTCTCTCTCTCTCTCTCTCTCTCTCTCTCTCTCTCTCTCTCTCTCTCTCTCTCTCTCTCTCTTTCTTCCCCTCTCTCTCTCTTTCTTCCCCCCACCCCCTCTCTCTCTCTCTCATCCCTCACCCCGCAGTTTCCTCTTGCTTTCGATTTCTCACAGTATTTGTACACGTCAATTCATGTCGCGTGTCAGAAGGGATGCCCATTTTCTACAGTGTTTCATTCACACACACGCTCAAAATAACACAGAGATTTCCCGCAGACCGATCCGAACGCGAAGAATGAACGAAATGATACGAAACGAGATTCCCTTCCGGCAGCGAAAGACAACAATCGTCCTGTTGTCTTGTTGAAAGCTCTTTGGCGTGTTAGCACTCCATTGAATTCCGTGCTTTGCAATTTTTCTTTCTCTCTCTCTGCAACATTATTTTATTTTATCTTGACGCGAACATGTATCTTAGATAATGGATTTTGTCTGACAAAGCAATGAACTACCGGTGTGGTTTAGAATGCTCGACATGGCGTAATTTCAAAACCAATTTTCAAGTCGGAGAGGGAGAATTATTAATGTGTTTATTTGAGGTGAGAAAAGTCGCCTTTGAGAAAATTTGGCCAATTATGAACCCGTATCTAAATGACGTCATTGTCTTACTTCCTCTTCAGCTTTAACGAAATCCTGATTGGTCGATAGACTGTCACGGTTAAAAGTCCCTCGCTGATTGGCTCCGAGGATGTGTGACGTCACGGATCCTAGTTTGCCCGCCAAAACGCATTCGCCTCAAGGAAGTAAAATCGGTTCGGAGAAACACCTTTCGGCAATTTGCATCCCGAATGAGATAAAAAAAAAACATAAAAAATAAGAGAGACGAGTGTGGAGGGAGGGAGGGAGGGGGGGGGGAGGGAGAGGATAACGATTTCCTGTAATGAGGTTATCTTGCT